TCTCCGATCCCACGAACGCGATTCTTTCTCTTTTAAAATATAATAACAATATATTATGACGATATTAAAATGTACGTTTATATATAATTTTCTTTCTTTTTTTTCGAAATATGAATCGCGCAGTCTCTTTTCTTTCATCGTTGACGAACTTGAGAATCCTTTTTTTCAGGGATCTCCGATTTAACAGCATCATGGAGGTACGACCGGGGACGTTTCGCGGTCTCGACAAGCTGCACACCCTGCTGCTGAACGACAACCACATCCGACGTCTGGCCGCGGGCGCGTTCGAGGGCGCGCCGAATCTACGGATACTCTACTTGTACAAAAATCGGATCGAGCACATTGCGCCGGGAGCGTTCGCGCGTCTGCCGCGGCTCGAGCAGCTGTATCTCCATCACAACCACCTGCGGGAGATACGCGCCGGCACGTTCAACGATCTCCCGGCGCTGGAACGCCTGTTTCTCCACAGCAACAAGCTGCACCGGCTGCCGGCCGACGCGTTCGTCAACGTCGGCCCGATGACGCGGCTGCGACTCGACAGCAACGCTCTTGTCTGCGACTGCAATCTGGTCTGGCTGGTGGAGCGCACCCGGGACAAGCCTACGGAGATGGCAGCGATTTGCCAGTCTCCGCACAGGATGAAGGGTCGCTCCCTGACGACGATGTTGCCCGAGGATTTTCATTGCAGTTGAGTACAAGAAGGCCCTCTTCCACTTGCGAACTTTCGTACCTTACCATACAAGTCTTGTAGGATCTAGGATATTATTGCCTCTGTCAGCTGTCGGCTTATGTCGCCGCGGTCGTTGACATCATCGCGGTCGCGTGCGGTTGCTGTAGGCATGACATCGCGTGATGATGCCTGTCGCTTGGATGATTTGCGTGATCCTTTGTCGGAAGATTAAATCGAGACTTCCATTTAAATTCAGTTGTACCTGACTAATTTTAAAGCTAAGCTTCTCTTCTTCTCATCGAATCGATGGAGCGATAGCCGCGCGAATCCGAAACTACATTAGCATACATTGTTCGCAGATTTCTTTTTTTTTTTTTTTTAAGAATAATTACATGCAGCTCTGCATATTATGTAAGAATTGAAGGATAGATTTTGCATCTCGCGTATATTTTTCGCATGATTTTTCTCGCGAAGAATATTTCTTATAACAAGGTGATCATAGTAACTACATTTGCCTTTAGTAGTTTCTAGTAAAATATAAATAAAGCGAATAAAATATAAATAATATCACGTTAATTTATTTATTTAATCCGTTTTTAATTGTCGATGTAATAACGAAGAATTCCTTTTATAGCGAAGCCGCGCATAATAGAAGGACCAGAAGATACCATGGTGCGATTTGGCGAGACGATGACGCTGACGTGCCGAGTGACGGGCGATCCGATGCCGAAGATCAAGTGGATGAAAGACAAATGGAGGTACTTGGAGGCGGACGACGATGACAACGAGAAGTATGAGATTCGTGAAGACGGCGAGAAGTACGTGATCCGCGAGGACGGCAGTCTGGTGGTGACCGACATGACCGAGCAGGACAGCGGGGTGTACGAGTGCGTGGCCAGCAGCGATATGGGCTCGACCAAGTCGAGAAAGGCGAGGGCGGTGATCACGGCGGCGTCCCATTTGGTATTCGCCGAAAAGCCGGAATCGCAGAACGTGACCGCCGGCACCAACGTGACCTTCTCCTGCCGAGTGCTGGGCAAGCATAAGCCCTATGTACGTTGGCTCCGAGACGACCGACCGATCCCGTTCGGCGACAGAATCACGCTGGAGAACGACGATACCACGCTGCGGATTCTCGCGGTTAAGGAAACCGACGCGGGCAGATACCAGTGTCATCTCAAAAGCGTCGACAGGAGCGTGGTTCTCTTCGCGGATCTGCGCGTCATCGACTTCACCGCGCCCCGATTGATCTTCAAGCCGCAAGACATGGAAGCGGAACCGGATGCCATAGTCGAGATACCGTGTCGAGCCGAGGGCAGGCCGAAGCCGGTGATACAATGGAAGAAGGACGGTAGCGCGCTGGAAGGCAACAGGATTAAAATCACCCGCGGCGGGAGTCTTCTCATTTTCAATGTGATCCCACAGGACACTGGCAGGTGAGATTGGGATAATGTAAACTTTATCCACTAGTTGCTGGTCATCAGTCTCAAATCGGAGATCGATGACTGCGAGCAATCTAACGAATAAATAATAAAAATGGGTATCAAGACACATTTCTTCATTATAAGTCTCACGTGTACAATAATATTGCTATTTTTACAGATACGAGTGTTCAGCCGTAAACGATTACGGCCGCGCAACCGCCGATGCTTTGGTACGTGTTCGGCAACCCGGTGCGACTGACACGCTCGTCATACGAGCCTTCCAAAGCGCCACCGAGGAGATCGACCGTGCCATCAATAAGACGCTGTCATCCTTATTCAATTCCGATGGTACATCCAAACACGTCAATCCATTCCAACTAGCGCGTTTCCCGAATGCCATCAGTCGCGCGGCTGCCAGACCTGCCGAACTCTTCGAGAGAACCCTCGTCAATATTCGACGTATGGTGAACGCCGGCGTTAAAGCGAACGTGACCGATGAATTTCGTTACGAGGAGATCTTGACACACGAACAGGTAAGAACAAACAGATAAAGTTTTACACATCAGGTCACAACCTAATCGGAAATCTAAGATCCCGTTTCCCCTTTCAAGGTTAAACAAATTGAACAGTTATCTGGATGCACCGGTCACAGACATCGGCAGAATTGCACCAACAGGTGCTTCCATCGCAAGTACCGCACCATAGACGGCAGTTGCAACAACCCACGTCATCCCACTTGGGGTTCGTCGCACACTGGATTTCGTCGAGTACTGCAGCCCATCTATGAGAACGGTTTCTCAACGCCGGTCGGTTGGCAGAAGGAACGACGATACTACGGTTATCCGAAGCCAGCTGCGCGTCTCGTATCGACCACACTGATATCTACGCACGATATCACGTCCGATCATCAAATTACCCACATGGTGATGCAATGGGGTCAATTCTTGGACCATGATCTTGACCACGCGTTACCATCGGTGTCGAGCGAGTCCTGGGACGGGATCGACTGCAAGAAGTCGTGCGACAACGCCGCACCCTGTTTCCCGATGGAGGTGCCACCGGGTGATCCGCGGGTCAACAATAGACGGTGCATCGACTTCATAAGAACCAGCGCCGTGTGCGGCTCGGGTGCGACCAGCGTCTTATGGGGTGGTCTGACACGGCGAGAACAACTGAACCAGTTGACCAGTTACCTGGACGCGTCGCAGGTCTACGGTTACAATGACGAAGTGGCACGCGATCTGCGTGATCTCACGACGGATCACGGATTATTACGGGAGGGTCCTACGATCCCTGGTCACAAGCCTTTGTTGCCATATGCGTCCGGACAGTTCGTCGACTGTCGCAGGAATCCGCTCGAAAGCTCGATTAACTGCTTCGTCGCCGGTGATATTCGCGCAAACGAGCAAGTCGGCCTGTTGGCCATGCACACCATATGGCTGCGCGAACACAACCGCATCGCTCGGGCGTTGCGCGAGATGAATCCGCACTGGAATGGTGAGAAACTGTATCAGGAAGCCAGACGTATCGTCGGTGCCGAGATGCAGCATATTACTTATCAGCACTGGTTGCCGCGGATATTCGGTCCGACGATCGACGACTTTTTGTTGTCTTACCGCGGCTACGATCCCAATGTCGACGCCAGTATATCCAACGTCTTCGCTACCGCCGCTCTGCGCTTCGGTCACTCGCTCATCCAGCCGCGTCTGGAGCGCCTAAACGCCTCGTTCCAGCCGATTCCTCAGGGTGCTCTCAACCTACGTGATGCCTTCTTCGCGCCCTGGCGATTGGTGGAGGAAGGTGGCGTCGATCCCCTAATCCGTGGTATGTACGCCACCGCAGCGAAGCTGAAGCTGCCCGAACAGAATCTCAACGTCGAACTCACCGAGCAGCTGTTCCGCAGCGCGCACGCGGTTGCGTTGGATCTGGCTGCGATGAATATTCAGCGAGGACGGGATCACGGAATACCCGGTTACTTGGAGTGGCGCGATTACTGCAACATGTCGCGCGCGGAGACGTTCGAGCATCTGGCCGCCGACATTAGCAGTGGTCGAGTGCGGCAAAAGCTGCGCGAATTGTACGGTCACCTGGGTAACATAGACGTCTGGGTCGGCGGTATTCTAGAAGATCAATTGCCAGGCGCGAAAGTCGGACCGCTATTTAAATGTCTTCTGCTGGAACAGTTCCGGCGCACTCGGGATGGCGATCGGTTTTGGTACCAGAGTCCCGAAGTCTTTCGCGCGGAACAACTCGCGCAGATTCAGCAAGCCTCGCTCGCCAGAATCCTGTGTGATAATGCCGATAACATCACTCGCGTGCAACCCAACGTGTTCCTGCTGCCTGAGGGCCGCAACGATTTCGTCAGTTGCGACGAGATTCCCTACGTGGATCTGAACGCGTGGTCCGACTGCTGCGACAATTGCGAGGATAGCGACAACACCATTTCTCGCGTGCGCAGGGAGGCTCAAAAATATCTCGCGCCTGATCGCGACTACGCAAAGAATGTGAAATCGTTGAGTCATAACGAGAAAGTTAAATACTTGGAGAACATGTTGGAGGAGAGCGATCGAGAGGCTACGAGGTTGCGAGAGCAGGCCGACAACTTATTGCACAGAGTAAAAGAGCTTAGGTCATTATTAGAAGACGTCAAAACACGATGACAGGTAAATTGCATAAATGCCCATGCTTAGGTCCTTCTGCTGCAGATGAGTTCTTGCTTTCGTCTCTGATATATTTTATTTCTCGCGTGCATTTATTAGAAACACATTGCACAGAAGCAATGTATAGCAATCGTTATCTTTCTTAGTGCAACTATCGCCAAGTTGCAATTGTACGCGCGTGTTGCAGAAAAACTTAAATGATCTTTACAATGAACCATTAAAAGAAGATAAGTTAAGCTATACAAATATATTACAATATATTATATTTCTTTTATTATGTACATATAATGATACATTGATGGATCGGTAAGTTGTTATTAAATAATTTTATTTAATAATTTTTTATTCAATAATTTTATCTAGTTTTTAATTGGCAGAATAAACTTGGTATGTTGTCCACGGGCAACGACATCTTTACCATCATTCTTCGTAATCTCCACTGCAAGAAACGCCATGGTCTTATCAGCACGTATAGTCTCAGCATTGACCGTTAGTACTTCACCGAGACGCGCAGCCTTCAAAAACCTGTGCCATTAATCATTTTATTGTATATTATAACCATCTGTATGTGTTTTAATGAAGATGATTAAGTTACAATTGTCATATTTGTCAATTTCTAGATTTTGACCGATATACATCTCATTTTAGACTCTATGTACATACATATGTGCATAAAGAATAAAGATTCATAATATAATAAGAAACTAAAGGTTCCGAAAAATTAAAACTTAATAATTAATTCAAATAGAAATGCTAATTAGGAACCAGTGCAAATATAGGGTGTAAATAAATTTTATTATAGCACCGAAACATGTGGGATAGTAGTAAAAAATTAAAAACTGTTATTCCGGTATATGTGTGCGAGTTTATTATCGATTCCTGTTTAATACCGATTTCTGCTGCCTCTTTACTTATATATCTTAACTTTTACGCGCTGGAAATGGTCCAAGGAAAGGACCGAAATGTTCACATTTTTTTATACCAATGATATCTTAATAAAATTTATTTGCTCCCCATATTTGCACTGGCTCCTAATTGCCATTTCTATTTCTATTAATTATTAAGTTTTAATAAAGATTCAATTTATCAAAATATTGGGAAAATAACATCAATGTGTGAAAAATATCACAATTATATTAACTGTATGTATAAATGATACTGAAATATAATGAAATAAAGAAATATGATAACAAAAATTTTTAGATTTAGGTTCTTACGTCACGTGCAGATCTACGGAAGCTGCAAGAGGTAGATTAGTTTTATAAGTCGTAAGAGCATACGATGATACAATATCTATGATGCTACTAGTAAAACCACCATGCATAGAGCCAATAGGATTTAAATGCTCTTCGGCCACAGTAAATTGTACTTTGCATTTTCCATCGGCTGCCGAGAGCAATTGCACCTTTTCAGGAAGAAAATATATTTATAGATAACAATATAATATCGCTTTAATAGAAAAAATAGATAATACATTTACATTATTGTTACAAAGTTTTTATATAAATGTACAACTGCAATTGCAAACACATCAATCTGTATTTTATTTAAATATAGAGTTCTATTCTGAAATCAATTTTTCTTTTATTTTTCTTTCTTAAAAATAAATAAATTGTGAATAAATGAAAAACAAGTAGAGTTGTGCAAATTAGAAACTTGCACATTGCTTCCTCATCATTTTATATTACAAAACTTAAGCTGCTTTAAGTATGCGGATTTTTCAATTTTTGCTTCCTCATAGAGAAAGCTTTGTGAGCAAAATAAAAATTAAAATGATTTCTTTCACCGATCCTCACTAAATTCAATATCAAACATCCTTTAATAATACTTTATTCATGTAAAAAAATTAATCCGATATCTCAAATTTTCTGAAAGTTACAGCGTGTACAGACATTTCTTAAAAAATTCAAAATTTTGTAAAAAATGAAACCTTTCACCGATACTAACCAAATTCAGTACCAACCATCCTTTAATAATACTCTATTCATGTAAAAAAATTTAATCCGATATCTCAAATTTTCCGAAAATTACAGCGTGTACAGACATTTCTCAAAAAATTCAAAATTTTATAAAAAATAAACCCTTTCACCGATACTCACCAAATTCAGTAGCAACCATCCTTTAATAATACTTTATCCATGTAAAAAAATTTAACCTGATATCTCAAAATTTGCGAAAGTTACAATGTATACAGACATTTCTAAAAAAATTAAAAATTTTATAAAAAATAAACCTTTTCATCGATTCTCACCAAATTCAATACCAACCATCTTTGAATGATACTCTATCCAT